CCTGGGCTTAAATGTATCATGTTGCTATTTGTTTTCCTCCATCTGTTTTCCTTTCTTCCTCTCCTAGCCTTCTTCTTTGAATTAACTAAATAGTTTTCATGAATTTTTTTTTCCAGTGCTGGGAATCAAACTCAGAGCATCAAGCAGGCCAGCCAAGCTCTCTACCACTGAGCCATATCCCTGGTCCTTTTATGATTATTTTTTTTTAAGCTGCCTGTGTAGGCCAGGCGCGGTGGTGCACGCCTTTGATCCCAGTGGCTTGGGGGGGTGGAGGCAGGAGGATTGTGAGTTCAAGGTCAGCCTCAGCAATTTAGCGAGTCACTAAGCAACTCAGTGAGACCCTGTCTAATAAAATACAAAATAGGGCTGGGGATATGACTCAGTAGTCGAGTGCCCCTGAGTTCAATCCCTGGTACTGAAGGGGGGGGGGGGGCTGCCTGTGTAGTTATATTATAGATGGACACAATACCTTTGTTTTGTTTATTTTTATGTGATGCTAAGGATCAAACCCAATGCCTCACATGTGCTAGGCAGGTGCTCTACCACTGAACCACAACCTCAGGCAATGATTAAACTTTTATCTCTACCATTAGCCTCTTAGCTATACTTAAACATTTTTTCTGTATGTGTGTGGCTGTTTTAGGATTTACAATGTGCATCTTTAATTTACAATAACCTACCTCCAAATAATATTCTTCCTGTTAATGTACTCTAAAAGACTATTACTGGTGAGCATGGTGGGTGGTGTTATGCCTGTAACCCCAGCTACTCAGGAGGCTGAGGCAAGAGAATCATAAGTTCAAGGCCAGCCTCAGCAATTTAGTGAGATTTTGTCTCAAAATAAGAAATGAGAAAGAGGGCTAAGGCTTGGCCCAGTGGTACACACCTATAATCCCAGAGATTAAAGAGGCTGAGGCAGGAGCTTAACAAATTTGAGGTCAGTCTCAACAACATAGTGAGACCCTGTCTCAGAAATAAAATAAAAAGAACTAAAGATGTAGCTCAGAGATAGAACATTCCTGGTTTCAACACCACTTTCTACTGAAATTTTAAAAAAAAGAGGAGGAGGAGGAGGAGGACGGCGAGGACTCGGCCTACTTCCATCTCCTACCTCCCTTCTTCTGAGGTATTATTGTAACAACTTTTACCTGTCAACAAAGGCTATAAATTCTATACTGCACTGTTACATTGTTTTACTGTTACTTTGTTTTAAAGACTCTAAGGGGATTATAAATTAAAGTATCTCATTTCTAGTATTTGTTTACATATGTACCATTTTGGATACTTTTCATTCCTTTGCATAGATTCATGTTTCCATGTTGTAACATTTTCTTCTGCTTCAAGGAGTTGAAAATTTCTTGTATTGTAGGTCTGCTTCTGATGAGTTCTCTCAGCCTTTGTTGTCTGGAAATTTTCATCTTGCTTGTTCTTTCTTTTTTTCTAACATGGGATTGAACTCAGGGGCACTTGACCACTGAGCTACATCCCCAGCCCTATTTTGTATTTTATTTAGAGACAGGGTCTCACTGAATTGCTTAACGCCTTGCTTTTGCTGAGGCTGGCTTTGAACTCGCTTTACTCCTGCCTCAGCCTCCTGAGCTGCTGGGATCATAGGCGCACGCCACCATGCCTGGATCATTCACCTTACTTTTGAAAGACATTTTAGGTCGAAGCTAGGCATGGTGGCACACACCTGTAATCCCAGCAGCTTTAAATAAAATAGGGCTGGGTGTGACTCAGTGGTAAGGGCCCCTGAGTTCAATCCTCAGTAACCCCCCCCCCAAAAAAAAAAAAAAAATTTTAGTTTGAATTTTTTTTCCCCTTTCAATACCTGAAAAACTTTGCTTCATTTTCTCCTAGTTTGTATTGTCTGGAGAAATCTACTCATATCTTTATCTTCATTCTTTTTAAGTAAAGTCGCCCTCCCCTGCCCACCCGGCTGCTTTTAAGATTTTTCATTTTATCATCAGACATGGTGGTACAGCCTACAATCCCATCAACTCAGGAGGCTGAGGCAGGAGGATCCCAAGTTCAAGGCCAGGCTCAGCAATTTAGTGAGACCCTAAACAACTTAGCAAGACTCTGTCTCAAAATAAAAAGGGCAAGGGTTGTGGCTTAGTGGTAAAGCACCCCTGGATTTGATCCCCAGTTAAAAAAAAAAAAAAAGACTATTCTTTGGTATTTGTTGATACCTGACATATAGACAAATACATGGTGGTATCGTAGGATTCTATGTGTGTCTGCTAAATCAAGTGTATTAAGCATTCAAACCTGCGTTACTTTTTAAATCTCCTTGATCTATCAGTTACCAAAAGAAGTGTGTTAAAATTTTATTATTCTTGTGGATTTTCAGTGGATTCTTATAATTTTATTGTGTGATGTATGTTTATTTTTAATTAAAATTTAAAAAAATAATTGCAAAGTTAGCCCCCAACTTGTAATGGTTCAAATTATAATTTTTCAACTTTACAGCACACCATGATTAGATGCATGTTGGACCTTCCCCATTTAGTTTCCCATGTATTAACCTTTCTTTCATATTTTTGTCTTCTGTTTTTTGTTTTATTTTAATTTATAGGATTTAAAATATTTTTTAATCTTTCATAGTTTTGAAATCTCTCCTTTACCTCTTACTAGGTAATTAATTAATTATTGGTACCTGGGATTGCACCCAGGGGTCCTTAACCACTGAGATACAGCACCCTTAGCCCTTTTTATTTTTTGCTTCGAGACAGAGCTGCACTAAGTTGCTTAGAGCATTGCTAAATTGCTGAGGCTTGCTTTGAAGTTGCGATCCTCCTGCCTCAGCCTCCCAAGCCACTGGGATTACAAGCATGCACCACCACGCCCGGCTTGTACTGAGTAATTCTTTACAGCATCACTTCATCTTACTAATTCATATATATTAGTTATAGTTATATAGTTATAGGTGGACTCCATATCTTTATATTTATGTGGTGCTGAGGATCAAACCCAGTGCCTCACGCACACTAGGCGAGCACTATACCTTTGAGCCAGCACCCCAGCCCTGTCTTACTAATTCTTGCTTCCACTGGCTTATTCTGCTTTTTTACCATTTGATCATTTTATTTTAATGCTCCTATTTTTCATGGCCTTGTGACTGCATTTGCTTCTTACTTTCATGGGTTTTTTTAATGGTTCTGTTTCCCACTTTTACATTTATAACCAGGTTTATTTTGAAGTGTTCAGTCATTGTTCTCCTATCTGGACTCCTTGGTTGTACTAACCTGAAGTCCTTTGCCTCTTTCTGCCAATTCCGGCAGGGTTGTTTCTCGTTTGAGTTGTGACTTTTCATGGTGAGCTCATCTTCAGGGGTTTGGTTTGCTTGTTCTGCTCTGAAAGCTCTCCGTGTGGCCTGGGCTTGGGGGGTGTCCCAGTGGAGTGGTTTTGTGTTTGCATTACCATTTGCTCTAGAAATATCCCAAGGCTAGGACTTTGTTCCAACTTCCTGCCTGGCAGTACCCACGGTGTGAATGCAGCCTTTGCGGGTGTGAGAGACACAGCTAAGGGTTTTTAGGTTCTCCCAGCACTGGCACTTCCGTTATCTTTCTTCAAGTCTGCTAAGTGGGTTTGTTGGTTTTAGGGGGTTGGTTTGGGGTTTTTTAGGCCCCAATCCTCAACATTCCCCATAGCCCTTGTGTTAAGATCTTGGAGGGGCCTTCGCCTCCTCGTCGTAGGCTAGAAACATTAATTTTTGGTGGAGCAGTTCTGAGAATTGAAGTCAGAGGCACCCAACCACTGAGCCCCAGCCCCAGCCCTATTTTGTATTTTATTTAGAGACAGGGTCTCACTGAGTTGCTTAGCACCTCACTTTTGCTGAGGCTGGCTTTCAACTCACAATCCTCCTGCCTCAGCCTCCTGAGCTGCTGGGATTACAGATGTGCACCATTGTGCCTGGCTGGATCACAAACTCTTAAGTGGATCTCTCTAACCCTTAGCTTCCTCTTCTATAAACAACAGTACTTCTATCATGGGTGTTGGGGTGTGGGGGGGTAGATTTAAGGGGGATAAAGCAAGTAAAATGCTTATCATGGTACCTAACACATGGTAGAAGCTCAAAAAATATAAGTTGTTGTTATTCTAGAAAAGTTGGGCCAGGTGCAGTGGTGTGTTCCTTTAGTTCTAACACTCAGGACACTGAGGCAGGAGGATCACTTGAGCCCAGGAATTCAAGGCCAGCCTGGGCAACTCAGTGAGACCCCTGTCTCAAAAGAAGAAAGAAAGAAATTTGGGACATTTGGAAAAGTATAGATAATAAATACCTTACTTTCCTCCGACAGTTATCACTAGTTCTTTAACTGTTTCTAACCTTTATTCAGATGTATATCCATATATTTCTCATAAAACCAAAGCTGTTCTGCATGTCCCACGTGGCATTTTCACATTTGGTCAACACGTTACTCGGCTCAGGCTGCCCTAACAAGGTACCAGAGACGGCTTGATTTTCTCAGTTCTGGAGGTTGGACGTTCAACAGTAGGTGCCCAAGTGGGTGGGCTCTGGTGAGGGTCCTCTCCCTCATGGGCAGCCCCCTTCTCAGTGTGAGAGGAGAGACGAGCCCTCTGGTATCTCTTCTCGTCAGGGCGCTATCCCACCAGAACCCTCCACACCTTTCGCCTCATCTGAATCTAATCACCTCCCAAATCCCCACCGCCAAATACCATTGCACCAGAGGGTTCTGGGGCCTAACCATGAATTTGCACACAGGAGGTCCCAAGTCAGACCACAGCCTTCAGACTTCTCTAACAGCTGCCCCTCATCTTGGAAGGCAATCTGTGGTCTTGAAGCGAGATTATAAGGTTCCCATCTTGGACAAGGCCCACCTCAGCAGAAAGGGAGCAGGCACTAAGGTCCACACAGCCCATGAGCGTTTGTGGTGGGAGGAGCATATCTGAGTATTACTTAGGCCAGCCCACAGAAGCTGCCAAACCTCAGTGACCCTGTCTCCTCTGCTCCTGTCCCCACATCCCTTCCACTGCAGGTCACCATGACAGGAGTAGAATTTTCTCCTCCAGTTACTTTTCACCTCCGGGCTGGCTCAGGGCCTGTGTTTCTCAGTGGCCAGGAATGTTATGGTAAGTATGATGTTGGTGGGCAAGTTTGAGGGTATGGTGCCAAACAGGACTAGGGACATACTGGGTACTCAGACATTTGAGAGATTCTTAAATTGAGGGACAAAATCCCCAAAGGCAACAGGATCACCTGGAGCCTGAAGTGGAAGGCCACGGCAAGTGTCCTGGCCCCAGGTCCTCTGTGGGCCTCAGCCCCTCATCTGTAGCTTGAGAATGGGGCCTCCCTTGGCTTCATCTTTGAAGAATAGTTTCAAGAATAAATGAGGTGGTCAGAAGGAGCACTTAGCAAAACACCTGTACACAGGACCACCCCAGACCTGGCTGCTGGTTCAGTTCGAAGCTGTGCAGTGTAGGAAACAGCTCGGTATAACGTTGTCCCCTTCGAGACCCCTTCCGCTGGCCTATTCTCTGTCCAGCTGTGCCTCTCTCTCAGGGCACTCTCCTCCCCAAAATCCTCTGGCATCTCCCACTTCCCTTAGGCTAAGGGCATTAGTCTACTCGTGAGGGTGGAACCCCAAGACCTAATCACCTTCCGCTGGGCCCCAGCTCTGCTCCATCCCACCACCTCAACTGTGCCATGCTGGGGACCATGTCACCAGCACTGGAATCTGCTCACCCTCTCTGCCCACCTTTGTGTTCGCCCCCTCCCCTTCCTAATGGTGTGTGGTCCTCCTGCCTTGCCCTCTTTCTCCCATGCCCACCTTCTGGGGGCTTCCAGGGTCCCATGCCCCACCCTGGCCCCCACTTTGTGGAGGAGAAAGGCCCTGGGCAGTGGGTAGGCTAATACCTTCAGCTCCATGCAGGATCCCCTCAGGACCACACTTGGGGCACAAGTCTTGGGACAGGAGGCAGGTGTCACCCAGCTGCTCAGAAGCTCCGCCATTCCCCCACCCCTGCCCCTTTGCCCACACCATCACAGAAACTTCAGACCTACCCTGGGAAGAAGAGGAGGAGGAGGAGGAAGAGGTGGAGGAGGAAGAGGAGGAAGAAGAGGAAGAGGATGACGATGAGGCAGATGTGTCTCTAGAGGACACGCCTGTCAAACAAGTCAAGCGGCCGTCACTGCAGAAGCAGACCAGCGTTGCCAAGGTGGGGGAGGAGCATAGATGCTCTCACTGAGGTGGGACCCTGCATAGGACCTGGGAGGGACTGGGCTCCAGCATGTGGCCCAGGCTCCCAGGCGAGCCTGTGGGACAGGCCAAGGCTACTGCCACCGAGTCCTGCCAGGTGCTCAGCTGGGACTATGTGGGGCTTGGGAGTCTGCTCCGGCCCTTGGTCCTTCCCTGGCTCTTCTAGTAATGCTTGGTTTTGGTTTCCAGAAAAAAAAGCTGGACAAAGAAGAGGAGACAGAAAGGTAATTCTTTCCATCTATTAAATTCGCCAGAAGTCGTTGGCTGAGGCGTGTTGTGCTGGAAAGAGCAGGCCCAGCAGGCGTGTGCGCAGTGAAGGGACAACCCTCTCAAAGGCATGCAGGTGTTCTCTTCCCCTGCAAGGAATCCTGTTCAAGATGGGGGGGTGGGGGGCTGGGGCTCAGTGGTAGAGCGCTGCTCGCCTAGCATGTGCGAGGCCCTGGGTTCCATCTTCAGCACCACATAGAAATAAAGGTATTGTGTACAACTACAACTAAAAAATAAATATTTTTTTTTTAAAAAATTGAGAAATTATACACATGGCACGATTCAAATACTAGTATTCAAATACCATCGTGGCATTATTCAAATACTAGTAAAAGCAGCCAGGCATAGTGGCACATAGCTGTAATCCTAGCAGCTCAGGAGGCTGAGGCAGGAGGATTGCAAGTTCAAAGCCAGCCTCAGCTGCTTAGCGGGGGGCCCTAAGTAACTCACTGAGACGCTGTCTCTAAATAGAATACAAAAAGGGGCTGGGATGTGGCTCCGTGGTTAAGTGTCTCTGGGTTCAATCCCAGGTCCAAAAATAAAATAAAATAAAAGTAGTGAGAAATGCAGGCATTATAGATGTGTACTAACATGAAAGTCAACTAAATGATGCGCCCCCTTTCCCTTCCTCTTTTTTTTTCTTTGGGTCCTGAGAGTGAGCCACAGGCACTGTACCACCTCAGAGCTCCACCACATCCCTTTTTTATTTTATTTGAGAGTACTGGCGGCAGAACCCAGAGGCATCTTTTACCACTGAGCCACATCCCCAACCCTTTTTTATTCCTTAAGACAGGGTCACAAAAAAAAGGGGGGGGGGTCTCACTAAGTTGCTGAGACTGGCTTCAAACTTGTGATTCTCCTATCTCAGCTTCCCAAGTAGCTGGGATCACAGACATGCGCTACCATGCCTAGCCACATAATGCTTTTGAAGCTTATAACAAGAGAAATTATTGATGGTTCAAAGAAGAGATATCAAACTATTTTTATTTTATTTCACATAGTTTTAGAAATAGTTTACAGAAAAAAGTCCGCTGAAGTGTTACTATTGGTAGGAAGTAAAGAAAATTATAAATAACTTATTCTTGTTTTTTAAAATATTTTTTAGTTGTAGGTGGAAACAATGCCTTTATTTTTATTTATTTATTTTCATGTGGTCCTGAGGATCGAACCCAGTGCCTCACCCATGCTAGATGAGCACTCTACCACCGAGCCACAACCCCACCCCTATTCTTTTATTTATGTGTGATGCAGTTAGAATTATTTTTATATTTTTATATTATCCTGGGAAAGGCAGGAGGACAGGGCCATGCAATGGTCATTCAGGCCACTTCCCTGCTGTCAGAAGAAAAAAAAAAAAAGGTTGTTTAAATAAAACTGGACAGGCAGGACCCTGGTGGCAGCCAGGGTGCAATGGACCCAGTAGCTTCACCTCCCCTGGCCCAGGCCCCTGTCTCCTAGGACCATTCAGGCTCAGGAGGACCCAAGCTACTGGCATCAGGCCGAGCTCTCTTGCCCACCTGTGACCCCAATTCTTGCCAACCCCACCCTATTCCAGGTCCAGCCTTCCAGAGAAGAGCCCTGTAAGAAAGGTGAGTGGCAGCAGGTGAGGCTGGCCTCCGGGGAGCCTCTGTGTTCTGGGAGGCGGCCCAGGCCGGGGGAGAAAGTGGAGACGGGAGCTTTCCCTCATCTTCACAGGCCAAACCCACAGTCAGATCTAAGAAGCTGGGTTCCAAGAAGTGAGGAGCCAGGATGGCCTCGCCCCAGTGACGGAAGAAGGGCCTCAAGCCCACCGCACAGAGGGTCTTCCTCCCTCTGTGCTCTGGGTGCAGATGTCCCCCTACCAGCCCCCTTCACCTGAGCCTCAATGTGACAGGGTATTGTGAGGGCCCCACAGGAGCCTCGCACCCTGAACCCTGCGGTCTCAAGAGGCCCTGGAGAGAAGAGCCCGAGAGCACAGGGCCACAATAAAGTTTGCTTTGTCAGGACCTCTCTCCTCTTTCCTGGGGCAGGCTCGCCGACTACAGCTGTCCATGTACCCAGTAGAGGGCAGCCTCGAGCAGCACATGGGCCCTGAGGGTGCCCAGGGCACTGGGGCCAGGCCCTCAGCCTGCCAGCTGCCCAGAGCTTCAGGATTTACCTGTTTGTGCTACCAAGAAGGGCCTGTCCCCAGGGCCCCAGCTCCCTTCTTCCCCCTGCCCTCCTCCTGTCAGGCAGCCGTCAAATGTACAGAGCACCCACGGGAGTGGGGGGAGCAGCTCAGGGGGCCTTACTCTCTCGGCCTTCTTCTGGGAGGGTGCTGAGCCCCATGGGCCACTTGAACAAGGCCCAGAAAGTGTTGGAGTGAAGCCAGTAGACAGCAGGGAAGTGGCCTGAATGACCACTGCATGGCCCTGTCCTCCTGCCTTTTCCAGGCCTGCTACAGTGGCTTTGGGTTACTGACCCTGGCTTAGCTCCTGATACAGGCAGGCATGCAGGTGGCTCTCCTCTAGGGACTGCACTTGCAGGGTTTCTCCCAGCATGCCGTGGGCCAGGCCTAAAGCAAGACAGCAGAGAGCTGCCCGGGAGCCCCAGGTGCAGGTCCCAGGAGGTCAGGTCCTTGAACACCTGCATGGGAAAGTCAGCAAAAGGCTTGGGACTCTGGTCAGCTCCTCGGGCCCTTGGTAGGCAGCTAGTGTTCACTGAGCCTGGTTTTGGCCACAGCCATACAGGATGGATAAAACCAATTCCTTACCCTCAAGTCGCCTCTGATATAGTGGAAAACAAAAGTCAACACTGTAATTTCAATTACCATTCAATGCTTTGAAGGAAGTAAATAGGTTAATTTCCATGGTAGGAAGGGCCATTTGGTTAGGAAGTATGTGAGGAACTTCAGAAACTGAGGACAGGAATTAGTTAAGTCCAACCAGATACTGTGGCACACAACTGTAATCCCAGAGACTTGGGAGGCTGAGGCAAGAGGATCGAAAGTTAGAAGCTAGCCTCACCAACTTAGTAAGGCCCTAAGCAACTTAGACTTTATCTCAAAACAAAAAATAAAAAGGGCTGGGGATGTGGCTCAGTTGTAAAGTACCCCTGGGTCCAATCCCCAGTACCCCCAAAAAAATTAAGTCCCAGTAGCCATCCCACCAAAAAAGAATTGAGTCCAAAGGACAGTCTAGCAGATGGCTGAGCTTCTTCATAGTTGAAGGTATGTAGCAGGGACTTCCTCCCTTCCCCCAGCTCCCTTCCCCCAGTCCCAGGCGAGAGCCCTGGGGATCCTCACAGGAGGGCTCTGAACAGATAACCAGCGAGCATCTGATTTTTATTTGCAGACACACAGTAGGTATCAACTGGCAAATGGGGGTCAGTCTGCATTCCTAGGGCGCCCTTTGCCCTTCTCCCTTCCCCTGCCCTAACCCTCCCGCTTTCAACAGGAAAAGGGTGAGTTGGGGCTGAAGCAGGCGCTGACAAGTGGCAGATATGCAGGTGGGTCGTGTTTGCAGCAGCTGGCTGTTGGGAGGAGCAGGCGCTAGACGGCCCCAGTTGGGGGGTGTTGAACTTGGCACTAGGGGGTGGAGATTAGCTGTGCAGCCAGGCTACTTCTCACTTCCCTTATCACCTCCTGTAAGCCCCCCCCCACCAATGCTAATGAGCTGTACCCTTCTCCCCTCATCCTTTCCCCCAGCTCCAGTGAAGGACAAAGTCGAACAAAGTGTAGGTAAACTGAGGTTGAGCCACGAGGGTCACTGCCCCCTTCCCCTGTTCTTGCAGCACTTCAGACTTTTCAGTCATCTGAAAAATGATCACAAATCTCAGCTGACCTTCCTGGTGGCAGCTCTGACAACATTAGTAGTGGCCATTTCCTTTTATGAACTGGGAACCTGAGACCAGAGAAGGAAAGGGACTTGACATGGTCACACAGCTGTGAAGGCCAAGCAAGGGGATGGGAAAAGACCCAGGTCCCTGCCTACAGCACCCCAGGCCTTGTGGCTCCCCACCTGGGGCACACCACTGAATCTCCCCTGGGGGCAAAGGAGCAAATTGAACCAGAAGCCAGGCCTCCTAATGCCAAATGGACAGGACAAGGAGACAGAGATCTCACCCAGGAAGCAGGCTACTCTGCCATGCCCCAGAGCCCCCTGGCACCAGCCTCCGGCTGAGCCCCAAAGCCGATCTTGACTGCTGGCATCTGTTACCATGGAGACCTGGGCTGAGATTGGGCCAGTAATGGCAGACCCTGTCCCCACACACAAGAACCTGGAACTCAGGCTTAGAGGCCTTGAACAAATCCCACTGTCCCCTGGGGGATGAACCCTGAGGGCATAAGGTCGACTCCCCTCCCTCTACCAGCGGAGCACCAGGACCTGAGCCCTGGGAATCTGTGCCTGCGACCCCACCTGACCCCTGGATTGGAGGTTGGCTGGAGGTGGCCTCTAACACCCTCTCTGGGAGCTGGTGGGTTTGGGCATGAAGGCAGAGGTTCCCCAAGGGATCAAGACAGAATCTGATGGGGAGAGACACTGGGGGAGGTTCCTGGAAGAGGCAGAGACTGAAACAGGCCTGGAGTAATGGGAAGAATGTGGAAGAGGGGTGCAGAGGATGGCTCAGCAGGGGGCGAGAGGCGGGCGGGCTGGGGTGTGGTCAGGGAACAGCAGGCACTGTGCTAGGATGTGAGCATCTGGCCTTTTGTCGTGCCCCACCATGCCAGCAGTGAGACACCAACCCACTCTGACTCTCATCTGTGGAATGATCGGTTGAACCAGATCATGAAGCTCTAAAATCGCTTCCAGTTTTGATGCCATTTGAATCTGATCCCAAAGCCCTGGATTCCCCAGGTTACTTGAGCCTCCACCCTCCTTAAACCAGTTCAGGCAACTTACTCCTGGGCCCCCTGCTTGGGGCTTAAGCCGGGGGAGGGCGGAGCTGGACAGCCCCCTGCTGGAGCTGGACGGAGCCCTGGAGGGGGCTGCTTGGCTTGTTTGTGTGTGTGGCCAGGGTGGCAGACCACTTTGTGGATTGCTGGAGCTCAGAAAGGTGAGAGGAACCTGGAGGTGAGAGTTTCACCCTAAAAGTCAGCTCCTTAGGTAAATGAACCCACACCTGGCATTTCCCTTTTCCCTTCCCAGGGCACCAAGAACTCCAGGGAGTCAGAGCTGAGACCTGGGCTTCTCTCCGAGACCCCCTCCTGCACTCCCCACTCCCACTGTCACCAACATCCCCTTTCTGTAGGGAGGAGACAGCACAGAGCTCCCTGGCCATCAGCTTTCAGGACCTCCCTGTCATCTTAAAACACAGAAAGGCTTCTGAGCCCCTACAAGGAAGCCCTATGGGGTTGGGGCTCTGGAGGGCACAGCCCACAATCAGAGGAGAGGGTTCATGGACTCACCTGGTCACTCCATCCACTGGCTGGCTCATTTTGAGCAAGTGACCTCCCAATGTACCTCAGTTTTCTCATCTGTAAATGTGGGTGTGAAACGTGAGCTGGCCCAGCACAGCGCTGAGAGCCTGGAGGTCAGCCCCGCAGTGCTAGGGACCTCGAGGTCGGGTGGGGGCCTGAGCGGCTGGGGAGAGTAAATGGGGCTGGTTTTCGGGCCAAGAGTAAGGTTCAAAATGTTTTATAGATTTTGAAGTCTCCTAAATGCTGCTCTCTCATTTGGTCCCCCAACACTCTGAGGCATTGTTATCCCCATTTCTCAGAGAAGACTGCAGAGTCCCCCTGGAAAAGTGGCTCAGGTCAATGTACCCTGCTCTTCTCCATCTCAGGCCAGCTTTTGTGACTCAATTCCTTGCAAGACCCTCCACCTCCAGCCCAACCCATTGCACCCAGTATTTGCTAGGGTTGGATGGCCTTAACCCCTCCTTCCCAGTGGCTAGGGGTGACGAGAGACAGCGCCAGCGGCTGCTCAAGCCAAGCCCACCCCTGCCCCCTGGAGGGAGGCTCCTCCTTTTAAGGCTGCTTCTGGGAATTCTCACCCTGAGCCAGAACCCGCGACCCCAGTCCCAGCTCAGTACCTGCCCCTCACCCTCGGGGAGATGGGGCACCAAACCTGAGGGCAGGAGCAGCTGACCCTAAGAGGGGAAGGCGCCCTCCCTCCCCTGCCTGCCACACGCCCAGCACCGCACGGAGTAAGGCAGGTCCGAAGGGTCAGGAATAAAGCAGGAGACTGACTGCAGGGGCCAGCCTCCCAATCGAGAAGGCTCCCGCAGCTCCATCCCTGCGCCTGGGTAACCCAGCCCGGGGCTGGCAGCCCAGAGGGCGCGAGCTGGGGAGCCCCCACCAGCGCCGGCTTTGCAGCCTCACTGGCGGGGAAGGTGGACACCTCACACCTCAGTCTCCCAATTACGCCCTCCTCCCCTCCTCCCCCTCCTCTCCCTCCTCCTCCCTTCTCTCTCTTCTTCCCCCTGAAAACCTGTGGCTCCGAGAGACCTTGACTTCTCTGGGACTACCCCTGGGGCCTGCCCACATCTGCTCCTGAGTTTGGGGGCAGGGGGGTGACTGCCCCAAGAAGTCTCTCCAGCGATGGGAGCCGCCCGCCTGCTGCCCAACCTCACTCTGTAAGTGCGCTGCCTGGGACTGGACTCCTATTGCCATTTCCAGCCCCGGGGCAGACCTGTCTCCCCGACTCCTATTTGGGTGGGCTGGGCCAGGTGGAGCAGGGTGGGGGCAGGTGGAGCACGGCAGGGATGGGGGGCTGGGGGGGCCTGGGTGCACCCGTGGGCTTGCCACTGGCACCCACACTTGGGTCTGCCTTGTCCCCTTCACAGGTGCTTGCAGCTATTGATTCTCTGCTGTCAAACGCAGGTAGGCGCCCCCACTCCCCAGCTCCCCCACCGCACCTAAGAGAGGGAGAAGGAGGTCTCTGAGCCTCTGGTACAGGCAGGCTCTGGCCTCTCCAGCATCTAGAAGGTGCTGAGGTTTGGGGGATCAGCTTTTGGGGGATGACTGGAAAGGGGACTAGGAAAGCCTTGGGGATAGAGGGAGGTTTTAATCTGAGGTCTCCCTCTGAGGACCCTCGCTGCTCCCCTTGAGTCTCTGCCTCTCTGTCCATCCCTCTGCACTGGGCTCCCCCAAAGGCTAAGTGTACATGCTCTCAAGACTCCAGGGATGGAGCCCAGGAGCAGTTGAGGGGAGGGGACAGTCATGGCGCAGGTGAGGCTTGAGCCTGCAAGCACCTGAAAGGACAGGTTTTGATGCAAATCCACTTGTATGATCCCCCCATTTCCCCCCTCCCACCTCCACAGATGTCCAGCGGGGTCCCGTGGGCACAGTGGGAATGCCCAGCTGGGGTGGGGCAACTCCCTACCTATAGGGCAACGAGGTCAAGCCCAAAGATTTGTTTGGGATGGAATTCAGGGTTTGCTTCTTCACATTCCCCCCACCCCAAGTCTGCCCTCCACCCCCCCACCACGCACACCTCCCACCCCCAAGCCTCAGCCCCCTGTGCATGGCTCGTCCTTTTTTTGTGATCCTCCATAAAAGTGCAGCTATTAAAATGCACTGGTCCAGAACCGCTCTGGGGAGAGACCGCCTGGCTTTCCCAGGCCAGAGGCCGGCTTCTCTTCCTATCCAGTGGGGACTTTTTTTGAAGGTAAATGCCTTTTCTCTGGGAAGGGACTGGGCTGCCTTTGAAGCAGTGGGGGGGTGGGAGAGAGAGACAACGCCCCCCCTTTTCCTTCCCCCTTTTGCTGTAGCCCCGTTCCAGGCCTTTTGCTTCACACATCCAGGGAGAGCAAGAAGAAAGCCCCCAGCCTGGCCGGGAGGGGGCTGGGGGTGGCCCAACCTGTTCTGGAAGGGGAATTAGCACAATGGTGCGGCTGGCCGGGGCGTTTATGGCCTGGCTGAGGCCCCATTCAGGACGCGGGGAAGGTGGCAAGGCTGTCCTTTCCCCCTTGAAGTGCCCCCTCACCCCCCTGTGAAGGGGGGCGGCAGGCTGAACCACAGCCATGCTTGAGGGGCCGGCTGACAAGCAGCTGTCTGCGGCTGTGGAAGGGGAGGTCCCCCCGCAGCGGGAACATGAAAGGGACAGGCAAGGTCCCGCGGGGAGAGGGACTTGTGGGCTGTGGGCTGTGGGGGGGCGTGGGCTGCTTTTGTGAAAGGCTTGAAGGGGAATGGGGAGAGGAGGGGGCTTTGGGGGGCCCTCTCTGCCCCTGACCTGGAACAGACTGCCAGGAGGAGGCTGCCCGCCAAGAGGGGCGGACAGCCTGAACCTGGGCCAGGAGGCTCAGGCTGGGACAGTCAGGGACCCCACCCCTGGCAGGGAAGCAGGGAGGGGCAGACTGGCAGATTCCCCCACCCCAAATTCTCACCTCAGGTTTTTCCAGGGTGGGATTCAGGGTAGCTCCCCAAATTGGAGAACTCCCTGGAGTCTGCCTAGGGAGCCTGTCGATGACAATGGGCAGTGACGCATCAGAAGGATTAACCCAGGGCAGGTTAGACCTTTGGCCTCAGAGCTGCTCCTTCATCTCTCCCTCCTCGGAGCTGATATTTCCCACCCCTCTCCCTAGGCGACAGTGGCCCCTAACGGATGCCCAGTTGTGTCTAGCTCTGTCCAGATGGTTGGGATCAGGCCTGGTATAAAGATGGAATTAGGGCCAGGCTCAGTGGCACACACCTGTGATACCAGCTACTCAAGGCCCTGAGACAGGAGACAGGAAGATCACAAGTTCAGGGCCAGCCTGGGCAACTTAGCAAGACCCTGCCTCAAAACAAAATTAAGGCACAGCAGGCTGAGGGTCCAGCTCAGAGGTAAACCACTTCTGGGTTCAATTCTCAGTATCAAAAAAAAAAAGGAGGAAATTAGGAATTCTGGGCAGGGCAAGGCTGTCCCCCAAATGGCCAATAGTATCCAGATAGAGAAACAAGTGAGGTGCATCTTCATGCTAGAGCTAAGGCGATCTCCAATGGATAGGAACTGTCCTCCTGACGGGCACCTAATAGGATGGCAGGAAGTGATCTGTTTCTCCCCGGCTCAATGTTACAGAGCGGTAAGGGCAGCTCCAGCGTGGAGATGATGGTGGTAGTGTGCTTGGGTGGAAATAGCTCCTCTCCTGGCCCTGGGAAGGAGAGCAGGCTGATGGTGGCAATACCTTCTACCTGCCTGGGGAGCCTCAAGTACACTATGGCACCAGAGGTCACATTGTGGCACCAGCAGGCAGGCAGCCTGTGAAAGCAGCCATTGAATCCCACTGATAGCACTTCCCGTGAGGGAGGTATTAGACCCACAGAGCCCACAGTGAAGTGAGCACCGCAGGAAGGGGAACCAACTGCCCAGAGGGCCCCATGTACTTGGGGAAGACACAGGGGGGCAGGATCTGGAAAGGCAGCTTACAGGGCTGACGGGGCCCTAGATAAAGATAAGGGCATAAGAGATCCCAAAATATTCTCCAGTGACCCTAACTCAAAGCACCTAATAAACCATCTGCTCTGTGCACAGGCACTAGGGCAGGGATCTTTCAAAGTGTGTGGGGAGGATAAAGGAGAAATCAGGTAGCTCTGGCTAATGGATCCAAGACCCCAGAGGTAGGAAAACAGGGTCTGTCTCAGGTGAGCTGTGTGTCTCTGTGCACGTCCTCCACACAACATGGGAAGGGACACCATAGCCTTGAAGGTCCTTTCCAGCTTCCCAAGTTATGCTGTATCACTGTGTCCCCCAAGCCTGGGCAGACACAAGGCTCCTGCCTTAAGGTGGATGCAACCAAGAGGCCATGACTGTCTCACCCAGCAGCCTGGGTAGGTCATGGCCCCATGCCAACTTCACCTTGCACCTTCTACTCTGCAGGACACAGGGCCTGCCCCCACTGCACTCACCTAAACACCCCTCTCCCCGATGGACCAGTGGTGGTGTCATCCAAAGCAAATTGACACTATTTTTCCCTTGGTAACCGCAAAGGGGGAGAATCACCCGTCTCCTAATTTTAACCAGTACGTGAGGGACCAGGGTGCCATGACCGACCAGCTGAGCAGGCGGCAGATCCGTGAGTACCAGCTCTACAGCCGGACCAGTGGCAAGCACGTGCAAGTCACCGGACGTCGCATCTCCGCCACCGCTGAGGACGGCAACAAGTTTGGTGAGACCTGGCCCTCGGCTGCAGGCCTGGCCTCCCGGCCCATCCCCAGAGCCTGTGCCAGGGCTAAGGCCACAGCGGGAGGGCCCCAGGGCCTGACAGTTCTCAATCCCTCTCACCTGCCTGAATTTGGAGGGCAGACTGGTTGGGGATCCTTTCTGCACCCCTGGCTGGCAGCCCTGTGACTGAGGCCTTTCTCTCCTCCCCCATCACAGCCAAGCTCATAGTGGAGACAGACACATTCGGCAGCCGGGTGCGCATCAAGGGGGCGGAGAGTGAGAAGTACATCTGTATGAACAAGAGGGGCAAGCTCATCGGGAAGGTGAGGCCTGCGTGCGCGGGGCCTGCTGGCAGGGCAGGCAGGGCCGACAGCACCCAGCTCCCCCTGCGGAGCCCACCCACAGGAGCAAGACAGGGACCTCAGTGGGACTGTGACTTCTTACTGTCCTCTCAGCACACCTACTGTGCCTCCCTGTTTCTCTTTCAATGGCTCTCTTAGCCTTCTGAGGGGACCCCTGACCCACAAGGACCCCTGGCTCTGTTATAAGGTGCCTTTCCCCAGCAGCGATCAGTAAGAGTGTTAATACCCCCATGTCCCTGTATGAAGGGCTAAGGGCTCATGAGGGTTGAAAGTTGGGGCACATAGAAGACAGAAGCTCCCCCAAGTTCAGTGGGTCCCCCAAGTTCAGTGGGCTCCAGCTAGCAAGATGCACACTAAATACTGGGCAATGAACCCTTCCTTAGTGGGGTCCATCCAGCTTGTCGGTAAAGAGGATTACATTTCCTTTGGAACTGGGCACTCCTGGCTTCCAATTCTAGCTGCTGCTCACCAAATAACCTCAGGCATGTTGTCTGAGAAAGGAGCATAGGGCATGGGGTCCATAGGGTCAAGTGGGGCTGTTGTGTCCGACACTCTTCTTCCCTTCTTTCTTTTCTTAGGGGGCAGGGAGAAGGACCTAGGGATTGAACCTAGAGGTGCTTTGCCTCTGAGCTATATCCCAGCCTTTTATTTTATTTTATTTTTCCCCTCAGCAATTTAGTGAGACAGAGTCTCACTAAATTGTGATCCTCCTGCCTCAGCCTCCCAAATTGCTGGGATTATACGCATGTACCACTGCATCCTGATCCTTCTTTCTTTTTTGTCAGAGACTCTTGCCTCCCTCTCTCAACTCAGCAGCACCCTCACCCAGATTGAATGAGCGTTTTTCATGTACCAAGTGCCCCAGGGAACACATTACCTTGATCTTTATGTCACGTCAGGAAACTGAGCCTCAATGCCAAGTAACAAGCCTGTATCTAAATCCAGCTCTGACTCCAAGCTTATTCATTTTGCCTTACTAGCAAAGATGCCCGTGTCACTAGGCAGCTCCCTCCTGGGAATAAGGGACCTACAAAATAGGTCCAAAGGCAGATAAGCCCTCTGGGGCTGGGTGGACAAATTCTCCTTCTCCCTTCTCCACAGCCCAGCGGGAAGAGCAAAGACTGCGTGTTCACTGAGATCGTCCTGGAGAACAACTACACAGCCTTCCAGAATGCCCGGCATGAGGGCTGGTTCATGGCCTTCACCAGGCAGGGCCGGCCCCGCCAGGCCTCCCGCAGCCGCCAGAACCAGCGAGAGGCCCACTTCATCAAGCGCCTCTACCAGGGCCAGCTGCCCTTCCCCAACCATGCTGAGAGGCAGAAGCAGTTCGAGTTTGTGGGCTCAGCCCCCACCCGCAGGACCAAGCGCACTAGGAGGCCCCAGCCCCTCACGTAGGGAGGGAGGCGGGAACAGCTGCCCCTCAGCAGCCTTCCCACCCCCTTCCCTTCCTAATCCAAAGACTGGGCTGGGATGGAGGGAGGGGAACCAGAGCCCCAAGGAGGACCCTGAGGACCCTGAGGACCCGAAGCATCAGTGCCCCCAGCTGGGAAGGGACAGGACTGTTGCTCCCATGGGCTGGCGCCACACACTGAAATAGGCTCCTTTCTGGGCCAAGGGCAGATCCCAGGAGAGGAACTAGTGTGTCACCCTGATCCCAGAGCCAGCCTCCCAGCAGTGGCCTGAAACAAGCGGACAGGTCAGAAATGTGAGGCCTTGCACAGGCAACCCGGGTGGAGGCGGCTGGCTTCAAATCTTGTTCCCCAAATCCCCCTCAATCTGTCCCCAGCGCCCAAGATCCTCTTGGCCAGAGAGTAGGAAGGGACTTTTGGTTTTGTTCATTTAAAAAAAAAAAAAAGGAGAAAAAGGGCCGGCCATTCCTCACTCTCCATGACCCAGGCCTGCACCCCCACCCCGAAACCCCAGAATAAAACCATTTTCCTGCAAACGGGTTATCTGGAGTGGGGTGGACTGGAATCAAGCTGGCTGCTGCACGCGGCACAGAGAAGCGCCTGGCGCTGGCCGAGGGGATGGGCGGCAGGTGCAGGGGCCACTGGCCGCACGTCCGGCAGGGGCGGGGGGCCGTGCGGCAGGAGGCCGGCGGCCCAGGGCGTGCCCAGGCCCCGGGGACCGGGCGGCCACTCCCTCTGCGGGCTCCGGTGTCCTCGGCTCGCACGGTGCGTCCCGTGCTACCTGTTGGGGCGGAAAGAACCCAATCCCTTGGTGGGGCCGGGGCCGAGGGGCCGGGTGTCCAGGGGGCCCAGGCCCGAGGCACCGGCGCGGGGCTGGCGGGGCCGGCAGGAGCGAGGCCGGCGGCCCGCGGACGCCCCAGCCGCGTCGCGGGGAGCGAGATTGCTTTCTTCCGGTGAGGAGGGCCGGGCGGGGTGGAGGGCTGGACGAGCGGAAGGGGGGTGGGGGCGAGAATGTGTCCTCTTGTTCTCCCAGGTCCCCGCTGGGGTGGGGGCGGGGGCCACACCTGAGGGTAAATCTCAATTAGAGGCGGCGGCGGCGGCGGGCTCGGTCCGGATGGTCCCGGGGAGGCGGGAGGCCCTGCCCCCACGGCGCTCCGGGGGTGGGCTTTCCCAGAGGCCTCCAGGTGTGCCCGGGGCTGCGGCTCCAGGCCATAAAAGCCGCCTCTTTGCTTGTGCGCTGGCTTTTAATCTTGTTAGGGGGCGGGGCTTCCTAGCTGCCCCCCGGCCCCGCCGCGGACTGTCCTCGGCTGCTGAATCCCCCGGCCTCAGTTTCCCTCCCCCCCCCGCCCCGTCCCTTCACTGTACTGAGAAAAAGTTGGGCAGAAGGATTAGGGAAAGAGGAGAAAAAGGATGAAAGCCATCCCTTCTTCCCACCGGTCCCTTTGGCCTCAAATAAGGCGAGAGGAGGGAAAGGGAGGTGGCAGCCGCAGTCCAGGTGGACGGCGAGGGCAGGAGCCCAGCCTGACCCCAACCCGGGGCCATTTAGAAGGTGGGGACCGCAGCAGCCGAGAGGGAGGTCCCCAGGCCTCAGGACAGACATTCTCCTTGCAGTTTGTCATAATTGCTTTTCACCAGGTTGCTTTTTTTCCTCTCCCCCCATCACAAAGAATCTTAATCCTGGTGAAGACCGTGGGCTGTGTTGGGGGTCGTTTTCTGGGGTGTGTAGGGCGGGTGGTCTGGAGCGCAGCTGATAACTGGCGAGTTCAATGGGACTTTAAAAACTGGGGCAACACCCAGCAATTACTTGAGGACAAAGGATTGGGCCCCCCAGGTGTGGAGGACTGGACTTTGGGGAGCGGGGGGGCGGGGGCCGGGAAGGAGGTGTGTTGGGGAGTGGGGACTCTTACAATCACTCTGATTTCCGCAGGAATTTGAGACATTCTTTAAGACTTTAGACGGCCTCCCCCCCAGCCGGGCCTTTGGCCCACCCCCATCCCCCACCCCCTTGCTCGGGTTAGAGACGGCTTCAAAGGTGGACGGGGCTCTTTGTCTTGCCTGAGCTTTCTTCTCAGCCTTTTTCTGGCCCCTCCCTGGCTCTCTTTGACCTCCCCAGCACAGACAGGCCTCTGGGGGCCGGCTCCAGAAAGCCCTCACTGTTTCCTTTCTTGCTTTTTGAGGTGAGACCTGGCACGCAGGGACCAGAATGGGGAAGGATAAGGGAGGGCAGTTTCAGAGGCCTGTGCATCTCAGGTAGTGTCTTTACCTCCAGCCAGGCCCTGGCCTGGGTGTCTGATGCCTGCTCTGGCCTCTGGTCCCTGACTGGGCTCTGAATTTTCTCACCACCACATTTCTTAGTGCCTCTGCCCAGGATCCAGGTGCCCTACCCCAGGCAACCCTTCACACCCTGGGGAAGTCTGCTCAGTTCATTGCTTCCTCATAAAAGATGCTTTAAAAAAAGGAGAACCTGCCACCAAGTCAGGCACGGTGGCGCATGCCCGAAATCCCAGTGACTCAGAAGGCTGAGGCTGGAGGATTTGCAAGTTTGAGGCCAGCCTCAACAATTTAGCCCCTGTCTCAAAGAGGGAGGCAGGGCAGGGATGCTCAGTGGCAAAATGTTCTGGGTTCAATCCCCAGTACCATGGGGGAGGGGGTAGGAAGCCAAAAGAATGGATCTCTAAGAATCTGGGAACTTCAGAAGGGAGTTAATATGCTTATGTACTGATGGGAAAGATGCTTCCCCAGGACCAAGGACCACACCTGGCTTCAGCAACCCTGGTTGCTTCCTGTTCCTGAAGGTTCTAAGCAAGAGTGAGCAAGGGGTGGCCCCAGGGGGGCTGATTACTAATGGCCCATTGCTATTGGGGCAAGATGAACCCATCAAGGGGAGGAAGTGACAAGGTAGAGGGCGACTGCAGAAGTATGCCTCAAATCCTGCACCTGTTTAAGTTTACTGAGACCCTCAGCCTAAGAATAGCCTTTCTATTGATCTCTCCTCCACCCTGTCCTCCAGAAAGCCAGATGAGGTGGAAGGGAGCCAGAGCAAGAGGCTACAAAAGCTGGTTTTACTTATGTTCCCTCCAATGGCCAGTAGCCTCCTATTCACCAAACTAAAAGCCTTGCTTCAGTCCTTCCAGAGGAGGACCGCTTCTTGAACTGCTTCCCTCAGCCTGCTCTTGCCTGGCTCCTCCTGTAGAAGCAGTTCTAAGATTTCTTCTGTGTTCTCTCCTGTATGCTGTCTCTTGCTAGCCATCTCCACACCCTCAACCCCTTGTGCAGGACTGATTTCTCTCCCAGACTCTGGAATTCTGCTCTGTTGCAGGCCTCCCTTGACTCTGTCTACATTACTGCAGGGGTTTCCTAGTGGTGCCTGCCCCAGCTGCATCCACTGCACAGGTGGCTCTGCCGACCTGGAGTACCACACACCAGCTCTGTGCAGGCCCCTCACCAGCCAACTCCTGGTGTGGCTTTTAAGACTCTTGTCCAGGGCTATCCAGTCTCCCTGCCCCGCCCTCTCCTTTAGTACATCCCCTTCCAGAAATGCCATTAAAACAGGAACTCTTGCCATCACGAAGTGCACTGTCTCCATCTTTGCTATGAGCAACCCCTGGACTGGCAGGGGAGCAGAGAACATTGCGCACCAGGCGTTCTGAGAGTTCCTGCTGCTGGGCGCCATGGCACATGCCTGTAATCCCAGCGACTTGGGAGGTTGAGGCAGGAGGATCACAAATTCAAAACCAGCCTCAGAAACTTAGGCCCTAAACAACTTAAAAAGACCCTGTCTCAAAATAAAAGGGCTGGGGGGCTGGGGATGTGGCTCAAGCGGTAGCGCGCTCGCCTGGCATGCGTGGGGTGCTGGGTTCAATCCTCAGCACCACATAGAAATAAGATAAAGATGTTGTGTCCACCAAAAACTGGAGAATAAATATTTTAAAAATATAATTAATTAATTAAAGGGCTGGGGATGTGGCTCAGTGGTTGAGCACCCCTGGGTTCAATCCCTGGTACCAAATAAATAAATAAATCAAAATTCCTGCTGCCTGACAGGCCCTTCTCCAACATGCTCGCTCACCTGGAGACTAGTGGCCTCCCCTGCTCCACAGGTATTTGACCCTCTCTGGCTCTGCTGCTGCTGGTCTCTCTTGCCAATCACTTACCTTTGCCTTTGGCACATATCACATAGCTCATCCCGCATCGTCATTACATATGTTTGTATGATGGTTCTGCTGGAGAAAAGGACCTCAGAGGTAAAAAATAGTGTTGCCACACCCACCCACCCACTGCTTGTGCCCAGCCCAGGACAAATCACAGGGGGAATGTATATTGAGAGGATCATCCAAATGAGGCCCCAGAAAGAAGTCATTGCCCGGCACCTAGCTGTTCCTCAAGGTGCAACTCAGGTGTGAGGAGTCTTCAGCAGTTTCTGTAATACTTACTTCTTCCGTACAGTTCTCAAGCTCTGTGCTAATCCTTCAAGTAATTTTAAAAGATGGACAACAGGGAACTCTCAAGGCACTTCAAATTTAATTGGAAGGGTAAACTCATAGACTTTTTTTTTTTCGTACTGGGTATGGGTAGTGAACTCAGGGACACTAGACCACTGAGCCACATTCTCAGCCCTATTTTGTATTTTATTTAGAGACAGGGTCTCATTGAATTGCCTGGCACCTCACAGTTGTTGAAGCTGGCTTTGAACTCGTGATCCTCCTGTCTCAGCCTCTGGAGCTGCTGGGATTACAGGCATGTGCCACTGTGCCCAGCCTATTTTTTTTTTTATGTGAGGTTTTCTTTCTTTCTTACTTTTTAGTTGTAAATGGACACAATACCTTTATTTTATTTATTTACTTTTATGTGGTACTGAGTATCAAACCCAGTGCCTTGCACGAGTGAGGCAAGCAATCCAACATTGAGCTACATATCCCAGCCCAAACACATAGACTTTTGGAAATCTCTGTTATAATATTTTTATTTTGGCAGGATTGAACCAGGGGTGCTTTATCAATAAGCTCCATCCCAGTCCTTTTACATTTCTTATTTTGAAATAGGTTTTCCCTAAATTGCCAAGGGAGGCTGGGCCTCGAATTTGCATCAGCCTCCTGAGTC